CGTAGGTAGCTGGATTAGACAGAAAAAGGTTAATGATGTGGGGAGAGACCGTTGTGAAACGGGGCTAGGAATTACTGCCCAAGGGGAAATGCTCTTCTTAATAGACTTCCTCAGGGAAGGGGAAACTAGGACAGATGGGACAGTCATTACCACCCTAAATTCTCATTATTGTCCAGAACTCCAATTCTACTTCCTGTCCTGTTTTTATAAAGGAGGAAAAAAAGAAGTGGTGGTTCAGGTAATTGTCTAGACAGGCAGGCTCAGAAACCCTTCTGAAGCAGCTGCCCCTGTCCAGAGCTCTCCTTGCTGGAAGGTATGTAAGAACACCCTGGGCACATTCAGATGAGTAAAATGGCCTGGACTTGGGTTCACAAATCGGCCAGTCGTGTAGGCCTGGGCAGGCGATGAAACACTAGCAAGTAGAAGGCTTCTGAATCTCTGACAGGGAAGCTGGGAAGTGGGAAGGAGAGGGAGAGAGAAAGGAACTTCTTTCTTCCCTTGAGCAAGTGGACCGCCTGGAAGAGGTCACAGTTCAGACGTGGAGATGAAAGCTGAGTCACAGGAACGAAGGCTGAGTCAATCCTGGCCTGAAGTAGCAGCTCTGACACAATCGCACGGATTCTCCCCTCGACACTCGGCTCATTGTTCCTGCACAGCACAGCACTTCATATGTGCTTCCAGTGAGCCCGCCTGACAGTGAGTCTCCCCCTGCAGCTCCTCAATGGGGCTTTGTATTCTACTCAGTCCCTCAGCCTCCAGGGACACAAGATTTTAACGTTCCTTTAAATCCGAGGGAAAAGACTAGTGTCTTGGAGCAGCTGCCTCTTTGGGAAAGAGAACTGGGAGACAGTCATGCTTGACAGTGTCTCTGTCTTTTGGCTCAAAGTAATCGGCCAGTAAAACCAGTTGGCAGCAGTCAAGGGAGAGCCCGCAGTTACTGATGCCTGTGTACTTGAGAATGAACTCTCCTAGCTTTTTTAGAAAAGACTTATTTATTTTTTATTGGAAAGGCAGAATTAGAGGTCTTCCACCTGCCGGTTCACTCTGCAGATGGCTGCAACAGCTGGAGGTGCACAGATCCCAAGCCAAGGTCTCCCATGTGGGTACAGGGGCCCAAGGGCATGGGCCATCTTCTACTGCTTCCCCAGGCCATAGCAGAGAGCTGGATTGGAAGTGGAGCAGCTGGGTCTTGAACCGGCGCCCCTGAGGGATGCCAGCACTGCAGGCAGTGGCTCCCTCCTGTTAATGATGCCAAAGCCAGAGAAGACCCTAGTCCACCAACTCTGCTTTTACACACGGGGAAATTGAGTCTCAGAAACCCCGTAGCTTGCCGACCCTCACATGGATAGGTGTGAGAGCTAGATTTGACTTTGGAGCTTCTGGTTGCCATCTAGTGCTGCTTTGCATCAAACCTGTAAGGCCACATCACTTCACATAATGTGAATGTGCCAAAGCCTAAAAAGGGAGTGGTTTCTAGTTACTATGCTGAACCTGAGAGGCTCCAGAAAGATTGGGCTGTGTTCAGTGAACGCAGAGCCCACTGAGGTAAGAATGGGCTGGAGCTGCTGTGAACTAGGGAGGCTGCCTCCTCCTCAGGACAGTATTCAGTGTGGTTTCCTCCTCTTCCCTCTTCCCCTTGGAGACAGGGCTTTGACTAATTCAGACTCTCTGCTGAAAGGTTACGTTCCGTCAGAATCCTTGCTTCACTCGTGCCGTGTTTCCCATTTGGAAGGAGTGAACGGGGCCTCCCCAGCAGAGGGAAGCCATTCCTGGCTGGCTGCCTGTGTGCAGGAAGCATCTGGGATTCTAGTACAGCGCCACAGGAAGAGGCTTTTTAAAAGGGAATTCCCCACCAAAAGTCTGATGCAGACTGGCACAGGGTTGCTGGTCGCCAACAACCAGAGGCTACCAAATGCTTCCTACAAAGCCACATCACCTTATACGGAGTAGGAAATACCAGGGCAGGAATCTCCACAGACTAAGATCACCCCTCTATAAGACTAAATGCTCTGAGAGTCCTAAGCGCCTCCATACTCCCCTTTACAGACCCTGTACCAGGATGGCAGAACAGACTAAGACTTGGAACTAGGGATTCAGCAGGGGCAGAATAGGCAGCCAGCCATTGCAGATGAAAACCCAGAGCAATCTCGAATGTTTGGGCCAGGGCACTGGGTTACTCTGATCCTTAAGTCTCCTAGAGGTCCCAGGTGCACCGATGGCACTGTGGGTAAGCACTGGTCAGAGCCCTACTCTGAAGCGCGACTGCATGTCACAGGGACCTTCCGAGGGCAGAGCGAACCATCAGCAAGCACACCTTCAGCCTCTGCGCAAGTGAAAACCTGCAGTGGTGCCTTTTCTGTAATTGCCTTCAGGAAAGAAGCAGTAGCTCCTAGTCCCAGAGGGCCTTCACCCTCACTGAGGGGCGGCCTCGGCCTCTTGGTCACTGTGAGCTTCCTTTAAGGGAAACTGGGCCATTAACCCTTTGCCTCACTAATGCCTCTGTAATTCTTCTCAGGGACTCTGGCTCAGTATAATGCACTTACAGCTTGTGAAGGTTGGAGGAGGGGTGGGAGGGGAGGCGATAGCTGCTCCCAGGACAAGGCTGTTTAGGCCGCAGCGTGATGCTCTCTGCCTACCCTCCTCTCCATGGTATTTTATACTTCCTGTTACCACTTCTCTGTCTGCTGCTTTTGAAGTTGAGAATGAGGACTCTGACAGATTTTCCATTACTCAGGTTTTTAGATCAACTTTGGTTCATACAGTTAAATGCTCACTCAGTTCTCTGTGTCCTGTTGTTTCAAATGTCTGCTTCAAGAATGGGAAACACGCAGGAAGGACTTGGGGTCAGTCCCTCCTCAAACCCATGGTCAGTACTAACTAGGAGGAAGAGGCCTGGGAAATTCACTGGACACGCAGGCGCCTCAGGAGAAGCTAGCCCCAGATGAAAATCTGCCTGAGCACCGGGGCTAGGCTCCGCATGCGTACTCACCCTGCCGGGGTCCTCTCTTCCGGCGGAATGCTGCCCCGGACTGCAGGGCTTCTAGAAGGCTGTCCATGACACCCGTCTCATCGCCCTCTGTGGTGAAGAAAGATGGAGATGGAAAGGCGTCAGCCAGATGCAGGGCAAGTATTCAGCACTGCTGTTGCTCAGTCCCCCTCACCCAAGGTGGCAGGCAGCTCAGGACAGACCCAGGGGCTCACAGGCCTGTGTTTCCTGGGTCTGTTTAAAAATGGTCTAAGCATAAGATGGCACTACACTGGATTTACCACCCAGGCTTCCCTGGGAGCTGTGATCCTGCAGTGCCACCGTCCCAATTTCATTGTTTTCAAAGATTTATTTGAAAGGCAGAGACAAGAGAAGGTGAAGATACAGGATGACATCTTGCATCTGCTTCCTGGTTCACTCCTCAAATGGCCACAACAGTCTCCTCAGGGTCTCCTGTCTGGGACAGGGACCAAGCACCTGGGCCACCTTCGAATGCTTTCCCAGGGGCATCAGCAGGGAGCTGGATGGATGGGAAGTGGAGCAGCTGGGACTTGAACCAGGATGCTGGTGCTGCAGGCTGTGGCTTAACCCACTGCACCACAGCGCTGGCCCCTACCCTCCTGATTGTAATCAGGAATAGCTACAGGACAGGTAAAGAAGCTGCCATTTTGGAATTGACAGGCAACTGTATTGCTCCCTCTGTGTTCTGGTGTCTCACGGAGCACCAGATTTAGGTTTGCAGAACAGGGCTGAGGAAGAGACCACTGATGACAGTGCATTTCACCCACGTATTGCCTCCTCTGACTGCAGCTTCCCAAAGCCAGCTCTACATCTAACGGAGCGGCCTGGCTGGAAGACAAAGAGTTAATGCAGAATCCTTGTTCCAGCCTGGCTCAGTTTCCATGGCAACAGCTCAGGATGGTGAAATCTGAAACTGTGAAATCCCAAAGAGCTGGTTGGCTGCCAGCTCCAAGGCCGGGGCTCACTGTTCCCAGCGCCACCTGCTGGCTGAACATCAACAGTGCAGCTGACCTATATTCCAACCTCATTTGTTTAACCCGGGTACTGGGAGCAGGGCAAGGTCCACTACGCCACCTGTTGACAGGTGCAGCCTTCATCTTTTAGGGCAGCTAGACTCCACCTTCCTCTCTGTCCCCCTCTGCATCCTAGCAGATACCTGGACTACAGGTACCTGCAACAAATCCTAGCGGCCCAGAGAGAATTGGGGCAGAGGGTGAAACCAAGGGCAGGTGCAGGATACTTGGTGTGGGCTTTACCAGCTGACAGGAGTGGAGTTCAGGGCTGAACAACTGAGGTGAGGCCAAGGGAACTGCTTTCCAGAACAGCACCCAGTCCCTGGGAGCCAGAGGTACGGAGCAGCCCTTGCTCAGCAAAGTGCCCTGACTGTTCACAGCCCCGAGAACCCCTGGCCGTGCAGAGGGCTCGCAGACCTGCAGTTCAGAGAAGGGGGGCAGCAGCTCTGCGCCCCGAGTGGCACACACTGAATGCGCTGTATTTCCGCTGCCCAGGGAGCGAGGGTGGGGGCAGGGAATCAACAGCAGGAGAGCAAAGCAGCAGAGACAGGAAACAGGGCCTGTAATTGAGACCATATGTTCCACCAGAGACAGGCTGCTGCTAAAAAACGAGGAGGGTGGCCAGCCTTCTGCCCCCTCTCGGAAGGTCAATCCATTTACAGAACCAGCGGGGTACTTAACTGTGCTAAGATCTTGGGCACCCAGAACTTGGTGAAATAAGCAGAGTGAGGACAAGCCACTTCCAAAAGACAAGAGGAGAATCAGGTCAGGATGACATTTTGGGGAAAGAGGCCAGAGGAACCTCTGGCAGAGCAGAGGGGAAGAGCATGTTAACAGCAAAACTAAAACCACAGTGGCACTCAGACAGAGTGAAAGAACTGGAACGTGTATGCAGCTGGCCTGGGGGTGAAGTCCAGCCTCAGGATCGTGGGGTTGAGCGCAGCCGCGAGCCGCTCCCGCCTCAGTGCGGCAGCCCTCACCTGCATTCATGTCTATGAGTTGCTCTCTCTTCTGCTGCTTCTCCAGCCGCTCCTTCTCTGCCTTCTCCTTGGCGAGTTTAGCTCGCCGCATCTTCTCTTCTGTCTCCCGCCGCTTCTGGTTCTCCTTCACTGCTTGCTGTGGGGTGGTATGGGGACAATGTGGGCACCCGCACACCCACCACCAGGCAGAAAGTCCCCTCAAGACTGATGCAGCGGCATCCCTTGCTCACCAGAAACATATTCCTGAAGTTGTGCAGGTCCATGAAGAACTCCTCCACAGACAGCTTCTTGGGGTCGAAGAGGAAGTAGTCGCCTAGCTCCTTAAAGAGGGTCTCCATGTTAGAATGCATCAGCCGCAGCTTGTTATACTGCTCTTGGGCCTCCTTCACGAAGCTGTGCGGCCAAGGAGTAAAGGGCCAAGACCACGAAGTCGGGCTACTTCTCTAGCCCAGAGAGTGACTCAACACGGATGCTGGCATGCACAGGACTCTTTCTAACAGCAGCAAACAGAAGCCATCTACATATCTAAATCTAGGAACAGGAAACAAACTATGGTACACCCAGAACACAGGAGGTGGCAATCCAGGAAGAGACTGTTCCGCATACAGTACTGTGGGTACAGGATACAAGACACAGTATGTACAAAGAGTACACAGCGCAGTTTAAAAGGGCAGTGGTTACCTCTGGGAGAGGGAGTGGATATGGGGTGCACAGAAGGGGAAGCAGCGAGGAATTCTAGTTTATCTGGGTGGTTGCTACTGCCACAACAATAAAAATGCTGAACTATGTATTCACTGAAAAACAAATTTAAGAGAAAATTACACATTTCCATGGCTAGCCCACTGTCCTCCATGGGACGTTTCTCTTCCCAGGAGCAACTACCCCCGTTCAAGAAAGGATATAGTCATTTTCTCAACGAACTTGTCCTTCTCATCTGTAGCAGCCGGAAAGTTCTGCACATCGCGCTCCACGTCCGCAATCTGTTTCTTCATCTGGTCAAGGTTCTTTTGCAAGTTCTCAGCAGAAACTGCAGGACACACGAGCTTTACTCAGTCCTTCCTGTCCCCGCTCCCCTCTCCCCTCAGTGCACAGCTGCGATCTGAACACAGTCTCTGGCCCTGAACTGTTTTCATTCTCCTAGGTATTCTCCTCTAGTTGCTTCTCACATGTGAGACTGAAAATAGTTTGCTAATTGAGACTGCAGCCTTCACAAGGCAGCCATTACTATGAACAGAGAGTTTTCAACCCCCCCAGAGATCTCAGTTACATTATTTTAGAGAGCAGGTTGTGAGAGGAGGGAGACACACATAGAAGAAGAGAGGGCAGAAACCTGCCCTCTTTCTCCTGAATGCTGCATTTTATTGGCCTACTTCTGCGACAGTGAGCCTGACTGGTTAATCCAGTCGGTTTTCTTTTTTTAATTTTTTTTTTTTTTGACAGGCAGAGTGGACAGTGAGAGAGAGAGAGACGGAGAGAAAGGTCTTCCTTTTCCGTTGGTTCACCCCTCAATGGCTGCTGCAGCCAGCGCACCGCGCTGATCCGAAGCCAGGAGCTTCTCCTGGTCTCCCATGCAGGTGCAGGGCCCAAGGATTTGGGCCATCCTCCACTGCACTCCCAGGCCACAGTAGAGAGCTGGCCTGGAAGAGGAGCAACCGGGACTAGAACACGGCACGCATACAGGATGCCGGCACCGAAGGCAGAGGATTAGCCAAGTGAGCCGTGGCGCCAGCCCCAATCCAGTCAGTTTTCTGCAGCCTTTCCTCCAAGGGCAAGAGTGCTTCTGTTTCTATACAGGGAGACCTCTCTGCAGAAAGAAACACATGGTGTGAAGGGATAGTCAGGGAGGAAGGGACAGTTGGCTAGCGAGATGGCATCAGAAGTGGCAGCTTCTCCAAAGCTGGCAGCCCTGCGTGCACAGCTCCAGTGGGGGGCAGCTCCTCCTCGAGGCCGGACCTGTGGCAGGTGTGCAGCTAAGCAGCCAGCCCCGGCAGAACTGCCTCTCCCCTCACCTGGATCATGGACTCGGTGAGAACAGCTTCATTCACCTCCAGGATGACATTCTTAATCTCTTGATAGGGCATGCGGAAGGACCCTAGAAAGATTGCTGCCAAGGAATGAGACACAAACACATCGTCAGCAAGTCTCCCCCATCCCCTCTGCGTAATCTTCCCGACAGGACTCTGCAAACCTCTCTGAGAAACCTCACCACCTACAATTTATGAGCCCACTATTTACGCTCCCCACATTTATGTCACACACCAGCTGTACTGTACTGAGCACCACATTCCACACACCAGCCTTTGGTGTTCTGTCTATATACATCACAGGCTTCCACCCCACTCCCAGGACTCCATCCTCACAGCTGCCACTGCCTTATAAACAAGCACATCCTGTCCTCAGTGCAGGGCAGGCCCCTGACTGTTCCATTTTCTCTGAGTATTGGGT